CAATGCATTGTGGACGAAGTTGAATATGTTGTATCTAACTCTACAATCTATCATACCACACAGGCTACGAAACCATCGACCACTACAAGAATTGTAAGCTAGAGTTCTTGGGTATCGAGAACATCCATGCCATGCGGAAGAGCATGCACAGGCTCAGGTCACTCATATGTAAGAGCGACCCAGATGCCGTGTGGTTGCCCGATCTCTACTCTACACGGTGGTTGGATCACATAGGCCAGCTGCTTAGGAGTGCGTCTAGGGGCGTACAGGTGTGCCAGACTTGGATGTATGGGTGTATACATTTGTAGTGAGTGAGGCATTATTTTAAACCGGGATGTATGAGTATATACATACGTAGGGAGTGACTTATTGCGTCACACTGGATATAGGAGCATATACATATGTGGTGAGTGGTTTTTACGTCACACTGGGATGTAGGAGTATATCCAAATATAGTGAGTGAGTTTTCATAGTTGATATGCACTCCTTTCTAAGTGTCTAGTTTTAGTGCAATGTCTCTGTACAACTGACAATTAAGACACTCATACACCATCCGATACTTTTACCCTTCCTATCCCCATCATCCTTGGGCCCCGATCAATCTGGTGGGGGGTTCAATCGATCGATCCAAATTTCATTTTCTGATCATTCGGGATTGTGCACGACCGATTCGCACCATATCTGACCCTATTTTATGGTCTCGGACCGTATTTGCCCATATTTTATGGTATTGCTGCTGGTATATTTGGTGCTTCTACTTACATACCTACCTAATTCTGGACATACTCGGCCGGCTTCTCTGGTACCCTGTGCTTGTACTGCTGTGCTTAGTTGGTCTCTGAGGGCCATTCAATACTGGTGCATTGTTCCGATGGATGGGACAGGACACCACAGGTGAGCATCGCACGCGATCTATAAATTGAATGAATGCCATAGGTTGAAGTTGTGTACGATAAATATATATTGGCATGTAACAACCAAGAACTACACAAGAGATCTATAGAATGCCACAGATTTTAATCTCCTACGGTATAATGCTACCGATGAGCATCAACCACCGAATCTGAAGTCTCGGTTTACATTTGTTGGTGTCCCATCAGTGCGTGGGTTTAGATGTTCGGTACACTCAATTGCCCGCCAACACTCGGCCGTGCACTGGATTATACGCCATCGCACCAGTGATGCTTCAGACATGCACAAGCACACATGGAGTTTGTATCACACACCTACAGTTTGTATCGTATCATATCCGTGCTAGCGTTTCTTGACTTGCATATATTTTCATATCGTTTATTCAATACACTCCTGTTTCGTTGATACTTAGCTGACACGGGACTACACGGCATTGCACCTGTGCTTAATCGCTCTCACATGTAAAGTTGTAGAGGTTGTAGGATACACCCACACACGTTTGTATCAAATTACTTCAGTACTTGTTCACCTTCAAGTGTATAAATGTACAAAATGTTTATTCTACAATTCTATATTCATAACGTTAATTCTACACAGTCCTAACTCGGTAATACGTAGCCGTACCTTGGACTATACACTCCCACTAAATTTTGACTATTCTCACGTGACTGAGTGTATGATAATTCTGCGTAAGAAGACATCGGTACTGACACATAAGTTGAAGACACTCACACATTCTCGCTAATGTTCTCGCCTCATATCACATACTATATTTATTTGTACATTGCATACGTTCACGTATTTTCACACTGATATATATATATATATATATATATATATGTGTGTGTGTGTCTATATA